CGCAAACTGATGGAAACCATCCGTCTTGATGGAATCGAATTCTATCCCTAAACACAATAGAAAGCTACAGGAAGAAGTATTAGAGGAAAATGTTAGACAAGCATCTGACTCCGCACGAAGAAATGAACATTCGATCTAATTAAATTTTCTCGCATGCTTTTCACAGTGATAAGTCAAAAATCTGTTTTCATCCAGTGTCAGTGCCAGGCAACCTGTCACTCTTGGAAAAAATGGAAACAAAAATGCCAGTTGATTAACAGTTAAACCCCTTGTCGACCCCTATGACAGTCATGTTTAAAATAAAATTGTTCTTAAAATAGGAGTTGATGTTTATTATCGTAGAAGCTATTGAAAAAGCGGATGTGTTGTTAGGGTAGGCTGTTGATATTTTAATAATTAGACAAATAATTTGATTGTAGAAATGCTTTTTTTTTTCAACATCATGTTTGTACAATGATACAATGCTTATAAATCCCAGGCCCTGAAGATGATCTCAATAAAGATTGAAACGTTGGCACGACAAAGAAAATGTTTTTCTAAAACCTACGTCAGCCAGACCGCATCTCACGATCTCCCAATAATTAATAATTAGAATTTTTTATTTTAATATATATCTATACGTTAATACGAGATGGACGAAAAACCAAAACTATACGACTATGCATCCAAGGGTGTACCGCAGAGCAACTATTAGATAAATCTAAAAAAAAACTCAATTTTTAGTAAAACAAAAGCCTCCTTGATAGCAATAGGTGTTAGAAAGGAAAGTGAAAAAATACTTAACAATTCAAGAAAAATCGGAAACATGTAACCAGTTCTTGTTAATTAGTTAATTCTTCATTTAATTGTTGAAGTAATTAAGTATCAAGTTGAACCGTACGGGCCTTGTTTTTACACCGGAATTTATTTTGATCAATGGCCTAATTGCTTATAAATCAAGGAAACTCGTGGAAGCAGCTGTTCAAAGAATTTTTTCTCTCATATTGATGAGTAATTAGTTGGTCCTCTATTTCTATCAAAACTTATCCGGTTTATTTTCTTTCGTTATATAAACTTTTTTTCATCACGTCGGACAAATAGCAAATAAATCCACATCCGTAACATAATATTAAACGGCGTCATTAAAGCCGTTAATTTTTTATATGGAGAAAATCTCACTAGATAAAAACGACACAACTTTCATAAAATTGAAAAGTAAAGAAATTATATTATTGAGGAAGGTTTCTTAAATAATTACTACAACGCTTCGTTAATTATCTAGATACATTTATTGATTATGTGGTAAATAAATAAGTAGGAAAATTGTTCATATGACCGATTAGGTTGTAGATCGAATGGTCGGTTGATAGTTATATTGGGTTGTCCGGAAAATAATGCAGGATTTTAAGTTTTCATTAAAAAAAATCTATATAAAATATTCTGTTTACGTTTACAGGATTACTCATTTGTATGAATGTCAACACTTATTAATCCTCTTCCAAATGATATTGTTTGTTTACCTCTGTAGCATTCCGCTACTTGGAAATAATTCAGTCATCCTTATAATGTCAAAGCGAGAATTTCGTACGATTTTCTTTTACGAGTTTAAACTCGGCCGAAGCGGAGCCCAAACGGCTAGAAACATTAACCAAGTCTGGGGCGAGGGTTGTGTTAATGAGTGCACTGTGCAAAGGTGGTTTAAAAAATTTCGGGAGGGAGATTTCAGCCTTGAAGATGAAGAAGGTCGTGGAAGGCCTTCCTCTCTTAATGATGATGTTCTGCGATCAGTGGTGGAAGAAAACCCCAAAACAACTGTTCGAGAACTTGCAGAGCAACTCAAAGTCAGTAAAACGACCGTCGCTGACCACCTCAAGGCGATTGGAAAAGTGAAAAAACTCGAAAATTGGGTTCCACACTCATTAAACGATCGCCAAAAAAATCAGCGCTTTGATGTTTGTGCATCACTTCTTTGTCGAAACAAAAATGACCCATTTCTGGCCAGAATTGTTACATGTGACGAAAAGTGGATTCTCTACGATAACACTAGACGTTCTGGACAGTGGCTCGACAAAGGAGAAGCTCCAATACATTTTCCAAAGCCCCCAACTCATCAAAAAAAGGTAATGGTTACGGTATGGTGGGCTTCATTTGGTTTAATACACTACAGCTTCTTAAATCCTGGCGAAACCATCAATGCTGAATCATACTGTAACCAAATTAATACCATGCATCAGAAATTGGCAGTAATGAAGCCCTCTTTGGTCAATCGGAAAGGGCCCATTTTGTTGCATGACAACGCTCGACCACATGTGTCACGTGTAACGTCACAAAAATTATTGGAGCTTGGCTATGAAACTTTGCCTCACCCACCCTACTCTCCGGACCTCTCGCCTACTGACTACCATTTTTTTAGACACCTGGACCACTACTTACAACACATAATATTCAAAAATCAAACGGAATTGGAAAATGCATTTATTGACTTTATCAATTCTAAAAATTCTGAATTCTACTCAGACGGAATTAATAAGTTACCAACACGTTGGGAGAAATGTATTGAGAGTATGGGAAATTATTTTGATTAAAGAACATTGCTTTAAAGTAACTAGTTTCTTTTTTTTTGTTTAATACCAAAATCCTGCATTATTTTCCGGACAACCCAATACATAAAAAAATGAGGAATGAGGGAATGAGGGATGAGTAGTATTAAGTAAATTTGAAAGATAGAAAGACACTTTGTTTTTTGTAAAGCTTTCAAGAAATTGAATTAAGGACTATTTCTACTGATTTAAAAATAAAAGCGTTACTTTTCATATTCAAAATTATGGCTTCAACCATAATAAATTTATGAGTTTTGCTTTGAAGAATGGACGAGATCATTCATCTATCCGTTCTACATTACGCCTATTGTATTACAGAATCTTTTTTATCCCTAATATATTTTTAATGGAATTATAATATTAAAACTAATATCAATCACACCAAGAAAATAATATCAATTATAGACGTCGGTGGCCATGTGGCTAGGGTGTCCGTTCGTATTTGTCATAGTCGCGTTTTTGAATTCGAATGCTGGCAGAGTCAATGGCGTTTTCAGGGTATGAAAAATTTATTGCAAAGTCACACCTCCGTCCGAGACATCCTACAAGAGACGTTAAGCCCTCCTGGGCAATGGAGTTTGGTTGGTTCGTTGTTACGAACTTGAGCAGGTAAGGTATTTTCTTAAGAGTTAGTTGTTAAAATGTTAATATGATTAGTAGTTTTGCAATATGGATATTTACAATAATAATTACGTCCGTTGAGAGGTAATTAGGAACTAGGAAGGGTTGATCATGGGATATTCAGAACTAGAGTTGCGATTTTTTAGGGCAGAAATTATTAAGTGGACATTTGTTGGTCCGATTGACCAATTAACATTTTTCAATTAATTAATATTTATGAAAGGTATTGGTTGAGATAAAAAAGTCAGTGTCACGAGCGAGAATCGAACCCACGACCTTCGGCTAAATAGGCCCATAATCTACCACATGAGCTATCGTGACTTCGATCCGCTCGGACACCAACTACCCATCTCAACTCAACCTTTACAATTTTCCTACTTTTTTGCCAACCGACGACCTTCGAACCCAACACCTTTATCGTCCCTAATTTTAGTTTTTACTGGTGGTGTTACAATATTTAAAGTCATTACCTCTTTGGCGAATGTGATAAAATGCAGAATAACACGTGCGTATTTTCTAAATGGTGCTCAAAAAATGGCATTGGTATTAATTCCATTAGGTTTCATGGTCCGATTGACCAAATAAATTCTTTTTAATTAATTAATCTTAAAGTAAGGTATTGGTTGAGATAAAAAATTCAGTGTCACGAGCGGGATTTCTAACCCACGACCTTTAAATATGCCGCTGCTCTACCACTTCAGCTATCGCGACTTCGATCCACCAACTTCTCATCTCAACCTCACCTCTCGAATTTTCCTTCCTTTTTGCCATTTTTCATAATAAAGAATTCATGATAATGAAGAATATTTTGTTAGTAGGTTTTCATATTATTTTTTTGCAACCAATGCCAGATTTGTAATTTTTTTAATTTAATTGAATGAAGTGAAGGGGTTAAATCATGTTAAAATAAGAAGCACGTTAATTTGGGCAGATGGATTTTTAAGTCCGGTATGGCGGACCCTTAATTACAACCTCTTCACAACTTCAACCTGAAAATTGCCCTGAAATGACGCAGTTAAGGATGATACTTTTCATTTTATTGCGAAGCTTCATTCTCTCAACACGGGGTATTTATCAGAAGGAGGATTTTCAAGAGAGATATTTTTCAGTTTGTTAAATTGTGCAACTGGGATGCGTTAGCGGGCTATTCCGGAACTACAAAACGAAGAAGAAAACTTTTTTGCACGTTAATATAATGTTAAGAGAAATAAAATTGAAATATAATAATACCCTCATTTTATGTCAGAAAATAAATAGTATAAGAAATATGGATTTCCAGCCAACCTTAAAGTTTGTAGCAAAACTACCCTTAGTCTACATTAAAAAAATGTATGAATAAAGAGTGATGCTTATTATTCAAGCATATTATACGATTTTTCACGTGAAGTCTGTGAAAGTAAAATGTATTCAAAATGTTTTGATACAAACCGTATATATGCACATAATTCTTGTGAAATGAAAAAATATTAATGAATATCATAAAGTTTTCTTATATATATATATATATATTGATATGATTTAGTTATTTTAGAGACCTGGAGACTTTTAGATTTTGGACGTGTTTAAGTCAAATATTGGCTCATAATAGGAAATTAAATTTTGCAGCAAAGTTTTAAGTGGACAGAGCCGGAACTCAGTTCATAACTCCGATTAAAAAAGAGGGGTCTTGATCAAGGGCTGAAAGTAAAGTGAAACTTCTGATATGGGTGACGATCGTTAGAGCGTCTTCATTGAGCATACAAAGCATAATCACCCCACCAAGTCTCCCCCGGTATAAAACGGAAGGCGTCCAAGGAAAGAGCACAAGTGACACGAATAACGCAGAATGAAGTGCCTCGTTGTCGCCGTCCTCATCATCGGATCCACCCTAGCCGCTTCGGTCGAGCACAGGAACAAATGCAAGGACGGCAAAGACGCCCTGGGCTGCCTCGCCTACAAGGCGTTGGAACTCGTCGAACAGGCCATCACTAAAGACACAGTCGAGGTACGGACCGCGATATGAAATGGTTTTTCAGAGAACTTAATAGGAAAATTTCAGGTCATGGAGGGCGTTAAGCTTGTCAAGATCAAGGAGAGCAGGAAAGGTGGACAGAAGAGCCTGGCCGAAGGAGTCGAAGACCTGATGGACACACACGATTTGGAAATAGACGTCGCTGGAAGGAAACTCACCGTCTCTCCGAGTGAATCCGGAAAAATCAGTTTGACTGTCGATAGCGGGGATATCGTCGAAGGAAAAGGCAAGTTATTTAACTAAACTATTCATATAAATCATAGAAAAAAAACTCAAAATTAAACATTTTCAAAAAAATTAACGTTTTAAAATACAATAGCCGAAAATAATTATAGAAGATAATTATAGATAATTTGTATTTACTTTTAAAAATAGCTCTACATGTAGAGGTATGCGTAACATTCCATGTTTTTGTAAGAAATAAATTATCAAACTAAAATAACCACAAAAAATACCAGAAAGATGTGAAACTAATTTTTTACAAATATCCAGATAATAACTAATAAAAAGGGCACAACAAGCAACAATTTAAATTCTTCGAACAGTTTCAGTTTAAAACACAAAGATATAAAATAAATTAAAAGTTTACTAAAACGTTGATGTGATTTGCTGTAATATTTAGGAAGAAAAAGCAAATTGAGGAAGATGCTCGTCCCCCTTGTCGTCTTCGTCCTGCTCAAGGCGATGACCCTCATCCCTCTTGCTTTGGGAGTCCTAGGTCTTAAGGCTTGGAACGCCTTACAGCTCAGCTTCTTCAGTTTCGTCACTTCCCTCGCCTTGGCCATCTTCAACCTTTGCAAAAAAGTAATCACAGACAAATTTATTTTCAGTTTCCAAAGACAATTGTCTAAATGTTAATTTATTTTTAAAGGTGGCTTCCGATGGTACCGTCCCAGTAGCACACGCATTCGCAGAACCCTACCACTACGCTGCAAGGAACCTCATCGTCCCCGAGGTCGATGATGCCCAAGAGCTCGCGTACAGAGGGTACGAACAACATTGATAATGACCTTCCCGATGACAACAGTCGATAACAGTCGAACAACCAAAGAAATTATTTATTGACGCTTTTTTAATCGATTAAAAAAGTTAGTGTATAATAAGTTATGCATTTGTAAATAAATGACTTTAAATAATAAAACATTTGCTCTATTCATTTCAAAAAACAAAATCATCCTAAAACTCAAAAATACAATAACGAATGTTGTACAGTAACAAATCATTATTGACTTATGTTGGAATCTAAGAAACCTTTAATTAATGCATATACTGCTAAGATGTAGAATTATACTGAGATAAAATTACGTCAAAATCTGAAACAAACTAAAAATATAACTAGCCATTTCGAAATGTTTTATTAATTGAATTACTACAAACCAAAATTCAAACCGTTTTACATGAAATACGTTTAAATTGTATTACCGTCACTTGACTTTTAGACTGGCCCCATGCTTCATATTTAGGAAGTTTTCAATACTGCGATTCGAAAGTAAAATGTTTTTAAATTTCAGTTGCTACAATCAGTTTTTTTTTCAAATGTAAACATATTTACAAAATGTTTGAACTATAGAATCTAGTTTAACGAAAATTAAAGATTAAAAGAATTACAGCAAATTATTCTTTTTAGTAATTAAATTTGAATTTTGAAAGAATACAAACGATTGAGATGTAGAGAGAGAGAGAGAGAGGGAGAGAGAGAGAGAGAGAGAGAGAGAGAGAGAGAGAGAGAGAGAGAGAACTCAAGATTTAAATTGCATAAAAAGGGCCTTTTCTAAATGAAAGATTCCGAAAAAAATTTAAATTAAAGAAAGATAAAAAAAATTAAACCCTGGAATTTTTAATAAACATCATTGAAACGAGAGAATATAGAGATGAGTCGTTATCAACTACAAACTATTCTATCTGTGGAGAGGTAGTGAAGATTAAAGAATAAAGATAGATAAACCTACAGATACAAAAGTACCTAACAGAGAGAGAGTGAGAAAGATTGAGAGGGGGAGAAAGAGAGATCATTATTGAATATCTTTCCTAATTTTCTAACAGATAACCGGCTCCGTGAAACAAATTTCGAGAACGGTTATAAAGAAATATCTCACGATTTAAGCTGCATAAAAGGGCCTAATCAAATGTTCTGACATTGTTCTCAATGTTAGAAGGATTGAACCCTTTTCCACTCACAAACACCCAGGATCAAGGTAGGGTCTTGAAGAAAAATCAAATGCAAGCGTGATACCTTGATCCAAAATGGTTCTGTGTGACACATTCTGGAATTACTTAGTGTCAAGTGAGATTGACACAATTCAAACCTCTAATTTTTAGTAAGAAGAATGAGACTCTAAAAACTACCAACTATCCTATTTTTTATTTGAATAAAAGATTGGAATGGAGTGAAGGAAAGAGATATATAGATAGATAGAGATAAAGATAGATAGATAGATAGAGAGAGAGAGAGAGAAAGAGGAGAGAGAGAGAGAGAGAGAGAGACTAATGGATGTACGGAGAGAGGGAGAGAAAGTTAGAGAGATAGAGTGAGAGTGAGTGTAGGTGTGAAAGAGAAAGAGAGAGAATGAGAATGAGGGAGGGAGAGATATTATTTTATACTGTACGAACAGTAGTTCAAAGATACTCAAAATTTTATTTGATACCTACAGAAACAGATTTGTACTAATTTTTTTTTGTTTATTTTAGAATTATTATAATAGCAGGCAAATGCCCAACTATTAATACAAAACAATATAATATAAATATAAAAATATCAACTCGTAATTACAAATAGAACAAAGAAAACAATTTATATTATAAATTTAAACTGATTACCTTTTTTTTAATATCAAATACCTGGCGCTTCCTAATACGACGGATATTATGATTATCAATGGAATCATTAAATGAATTCATTTCTGACAACAAATATGAGCAAGAGACCTCATTCCAAACGTTGTTCTATGGAAGGGCAACTCAAGACTTGCTTTTCTTCCTGTCCTATTATTAGATATGCGATATCTAATTAAATCTAGCAATTCCGGACAATCAATTTGATTATGGAACATTTTCCAAATAAAAATAACTGAAAATAGTTTCATCATGGATTCAGGAGGTAAAAGAGAGAAATGGCGAAGCCAGTTATAAAATGAATAGCAATAATAATCGCCATCACCACTGATATGCACCACTTAATGAAAAGTTTTAGAATTTTATTGAAATTATCAAAGATTTAAGAATGGTAAGGGAACCAGTCTAGACAGGCATAATCTATAAAACTTTATACAAGACACGATTTTAACAACTCTAACATTTCTAAAATTACCAGTTGTTCTAGGGATAAACGCAACTATATTAAAACATTTGGAATAAGTGACTATCGAAAAGAACAAGATCACATATAGAGTAGTGCGAGATTTAATCAGATTAGATATCTTCTAACAAAATTTAATAATAGATTTTGAACGACTAATTAGATTACATTTTCCAATATTAATACCAATTCTTTTCAATTAATTAATCTTTAACCCCCTTCACTTCATTCAATTCAATTAAAAAATTTACAAATTTTGCATTGGTTGCAAAAAATAATATGAAAACTTACTAACAAAATATTCTACTTTATCATGAATTCTTTATTATGAAAAATGGCAAAAATGAGGGAAAATTCGAGAGGTGAGGTTGAGATGAGAAGTTGGTGGATCGAAGTCGCGATAGCTGAAGTGGTAGAGCAGCGGCATATTTAGCCGAAGGCCGTGGGTTAGAATCCCGCTCGTGACACTGAATTTTTTATCTCAACCAATACCTTACTTAAAGATTAATTAATTAAAAAGAATTTATTTGGTCAATCGGACCATGAAACCTAATGGAATTAATACCAATGCCATTTTTTGAGCACCATTTAGAAAATACGCACGTGTTATTCTGCATTTTATCACATTCGCCAAAGAGGTAATGACTTTAAATATTGTAACACCACCAGTAAAAACTAAAATTAGAGAAGATAAACTAGATTCAAAGAGATCATTAAAATACAATATAAATAACATTGGATCAAAGTGGTACCCTGGCGACCACCTGAGGTTACAGTTATGTCATAGGAAAATTTATCACATAAAAGAACCTTCGTTTTCCTTTTATAAAGAAAGGACTGATCCATTTCGAAAGACCTCCTTTAATACCGAGACTAGACAACATGAACCAAAGTCTTGTTTAATACTCAACAGATAAATATGTTTTTGACAGATCAGTATATATGACATCAACCTGGGATACAAGTTTTTAATAATAAATTTTTTAAATATTAATAAGTTTGTAACACTTGACCTACTAGGAACAAATCCAAGCTGAGCAACATTTAAGAAACGATTTAAAATGCAATCTGTTATAAATGATTCAAAATGATTTGAGATTGAAGATAATTTTGCAATAGGACCGTAATTGCTGATAAGCGTTTCCTTTTTTAAAAACAGGATTACAGAAGAACTTTTCCAAAAGTCAGGCACTAAATTACGGGAATTTTTTTTAAAATAATAAATATACGAGTTTTGCCAAAGTCTGAGCACAGCGTGAAAGAACAATAGACAAATTTAAGATAGGGCGACAAGAGTAAAAACGAGAAAAAGTGTTGAGAAGAAAAGGAGAAAGAAAAAATTTAATACAGAGAAAAAGTGCGTTTTTAGTAATGAAAGGGTGTGTTTTTGCAGTAAGCAAAATAATAACATAAAGTTAATGAAAAAGGAAAGGAAAAATTACCGATAGTAAGAGTGCTAGGAGAGTGGTTAGGTTTTTTGCTACAGTAAAGATAGTGTAAATAATTAAAAATAAAAACAAATATATAGCGCAAAAACATGAAGTGAAAAAGAAAATTGAACGAGTTAACAAAAACCCCAGCCGGAGGGCAATGTAACTTCGGAATATGTTTTATAATAATACTGTTATTGAAAGGATAGTGAAAATAATATAAGCGTTCATTTGTGGGTTGGCCTTATTAAAAATAAAATGTCAGTTTTGGTTCAAAAAGTAGATGGCTTTTATTTGTACGCAGTGGACATCGGTCAAAACAAGCGGCTTCACTGCCAAATGAATTTACAGATAAACGACCATTACTTATAAACTACCACCCCTTTCGACCCAATGGTGTCTCCTCCTTAGTTATTTTTTCCTGTCTAGCTAAGATTAGGAGTGGAATTGGGTTCTCTTCGGCCAATTTATCTCTGTCCTGTTTCCTTTCTCTTTCTTTTATGACTTCTACCCTGCAAACATTCACTTATCTCTTAATGGAATGAAAATAAAGCGAAATAAAGTCTTGATTCTAAACATAATTTCACATCATAAGTATTAGTGTTTCCAAAAGTACTGAAAGAAATCGTAATATAAGAAAACAATTTTGTGTATTTAACCATTTTGTAGTTTGAAAAAGAAAGAAAATCGTAAGTAAAAATAACCAAATTCGACCTTTTGGATTCACTTTTTGTTGATTAATCCTTTAAATGGTAAAAGTTAAAATTGAAAACTTTTCCTTGTTTTATTGAAAAGTGAAATTTTCTTATCACGTTACAGTACTGGTTTGTATAATGGATCTCACGGGATTTTAGGAAACCGGCGCCAAAATCTTCCACATTTATTTCTCATATCAAGTTATTATTAATTCGTACCGTCTACGAAAAAAAAATGGATGCCCTTTGAAAAGCTTCATTTTTCAGTATTAGAAGTAATTCGAAAATTTTAATGCATGAGGAAGCAGGCAAAATGCGCACTTTTACATCATTTTCCAAGAGGAAATCCCTGCCCAGGGTACAACAAAAGTCGGTATTACAACAATATCAAAACATCAACCTAGTTTCCGGCGGTAAGAACTATAAAAAAGACTAGAATGTAAAAAAGCAATCTTAGGCTCTAAAATGAACAAAGATAAATCTCGACCAAGAAGATAAAGATTGCCAGTTTAAAATATTTCACGTTGACATTACAGGCAATAAGTTATGATGATAAGAATATAAAAATAGAACATAATGCTTTAATAAGATATTTTTTATAAGCAACTTAATGTTAAGAAAATTTATTTAGTTATTATTACTGTTCTACATTCAGCTTAAGTTTGATATCAAT